CCCCCCCCACCCCCCCAAAAAAAATTAAAAAAAAAAACCCCAAAACACCCAACCCCAGAAAAAAAAAAAGCTTGGATTTGCATCTGCCCCTGAGTGGAATGCTCTTTAGTAGTTAACAAAATGATTTTAAATAAATAAATAAACAAATGTTGTCTCACTATCTTTACTTTTCTATTTTGACAAATAATTTGTTTTGCAATCAAACACTGATCTCACTTGCATGCTGATGTCGATACACTTGTTTTTTTGTAAAAAAAAAATCTAGTTTAACAATTTTGATTCATTTCAGTTTACCAAACCCCCTTACAACAGTACATTCTGCATCATGTTTGGTTCGGTCGTAATTTAGTGCCTCAGCAAATTAACTCTACTATTTGGTTAATGGTAATCATAAAGTTGCAAAAGTGGGAAGGCATCAGGCATCACTTTCTCCAACCTTTTCCAAAAAGAGTTAGTAAATGTTCTTGAGAGAAATTTGGCTGCAACATCTCTCAAAATTGCTACAGTCTTGAGATAACTTTTAGGTGGTGGTATCATTTATGTTTTGTTAACCAGTGATGACTCAATTCCAGAGGGATGACTGGGAATTAGTTATAACAAAGCAAATAAGATGTATTTACAAAAAATTTCAATGTTGAGACCAATCTTATAACATATACTAACTACTCTTAAGCCTCTAATACTCTGATTCTGTTATCTAATAATGTTGAGAAAACCACTGACATTGACATTTGAAGCAACCTTCAAGATGGGGAAAATGCCTGTAGCAAGTTAGTATTTAATAATCAACAACTTCATCTAATGTTGTGAAAGTGTAAATGGGATCAAAGTTGCAAGGCAAGGGTCTGGCTTGAGGAGCTTTAGTGGAAAAAAGTGCAAGGAATTTTTGAATATTTAAAATAAGCATAATATGAACAGAATATTTGGGAAAATGAATTAGTACTTTGCATATCTAATGAAGCAAGTTAAGAAATTAAGAAATTAGTCCTAGGGTATTAAATTTGATTTCAATAGCACTACAAGAAGATTATACTACACCTGAAGATCTTCTAAATTTTGATGTAGAGCTGTTTTCCAGTTAAAATAGAGACTTTAGCATTCCTTATGGCAATAGAACTAAAACTTAACCTGATTTCATTGACACTATGTTACCTAGGATTAAACCTCTCCACATAAGAGAAGTACCAGTGGGGACATCAAGCCCCTCAAATTTTCAGTTTGCATTTGATTGGTTGGCTGTGATGCAATACTTCAGCTTCATGCACTTTGCTTGAATACCAATCTGACAACAAATATTTCCTAAATACTGAGTACAATTGATCTTCCTAGGTTGCCCCTGTAGATTGGCGTGTTGATTGTCAAACAAATTATAGAAACCCCTTCTGATCAGTATGGTACCTATATCTATACATCCTTATTTTATGCTTATCAACTCCTCTGAACGAATCTTACTTTGTCATCCATCACTTCTGTTTAATTGTGGTTCACATTCTGTCTAATTACTTACAAATGAGAGTTGGAATAAACATGGAGATTTCCATAAGATGGGTATTTAAGTGAAGATTCTTAATCACATGTTAAAGATTTTTCGTCTACAAATGGAGCTTTTGTTAATGCATTTAACAGTCCATTTTTATTAGTTTTGCATCTAACACTTGTTTGAGAATGCTTTAGTTTTGTGGAATGGTGGGTTATAAAATTACCTTGAGGTCTGTTGTCAAATTATTTAAGTGTAAACATACATGTTAAGCTGTTATGCCCTCTTTGGATTTGTTGTCTTGCGAAATTATCAATTAAAGATTTTGGTGTTTTCTACAGGTCACACCAACTGCTCATTTCCAGGATGACCTTGGCCTTGACAGTTTGGATGCTGTAGAAATTGTCATGGCTCTGGAGGAAGAATTTGGGTTTGAGATACCTGACAATGAAGCAGACAAGATCAACTCTGTCGACATGGCAGTCGACTTCATCGCCTCTCATCCCCAGGCAAAATGAGAGAAGTCATATGTTCTTTTACTTTTTTCGTTCTCTTTGCCGTG